CGCATTAAGACAGGACAGACAGGGAGACAGGACAGACAGACAGACAGACAGACAGAACAGACAGACACGAACAAGGAACAGACAGGACAGACAGACAGACAGACAGTCAGCATCACAGGCAGGAGAGGGACGACGAAGCAGACAGCGGCAAAACAAACCAAACAGACAGGCAGAAACTTACATAATTATATAGACAGACAGATAGACAGAGAGAGAGAGAGAGAGAGAGAAAGAGGAAGAGAGAGGGCGAGAGAAGAGAGAGAGATAGGAGAGAGAGAGAGAGAGAGAGAGCAGAAGCGAAGAGAAAGAGAGAGTGAGAGGGAGAGACAGACACAGAGACGTGAGAGTGAGAGAGAGAAGAGAGCGAGAGAGAAGGGAGAGAGAGAGAGAGACAGAAAGAGAGAGACAGAGAGAGGCGGAGAGCGCACACTCACCACTTCTGGATGTCCAGGTTCTCAGCTCTCTCAGCCACCTTTCATTCTTCTTCAGCAGGTCGAACTCGGCGCGCTTCTCCCACGAGAGGAAAGCCAGCTGACACAGCCTCTGTCGACAGTAGTGGAACGCCATCGCAGCTTCCTGCCGCTCCAGTAGGCTGCTCCGCTTTCGGCACTGACGCATGTAACCACGGCAACCACACCACGAAATGACGTGCCATGACGACAACACTATTGACGAGTCATGTTGCGACCGGGGAAAGCAACATGGTAACCAGAACAACACGACGATCATCGAGCGAACGTAGAAGACGATAAATGACACGTGAGCACCGGGTCTTTGTATGTGTGCATGCATTGGTGTATGTATGTTACATGCATGCAAGTGTGTACGAATTTGTTTTGTGTGTGTTAATAGCAGCATGTGTGTAAATGTGTATGCATTGTGTATGTCCACGTGTATATATGGCGTACATCCTTGGTTGTGTGTGCATTGTGTGTGCTCACGTGTAGATATGTGCGTACATCCTTGCTTTGTGTATGTTCCACGTGTATATATGTGAGTACATCCTTGTTGTGTGTGCATTTGTGTGTGTTCCACGGTATAGATATGTGCGTACATCCTTGCTGTGTATGCATTTTGTTGTGGTGCCACGTGTAGATATGTGAGTACATCCTTGCCTGTGTATGCATTTGTGTGTGTCCACGTGTATATATGTGCGAACTATCCTGTTTGTGTGTGCATTTTGCGTGTGCCAACGTGTAGATATGTGAGTACATCCTTGCCTGTGTATGCATTTGTGTGTGTCACGTGTAGATATGTGAGCTACATCCTTGCCTGTGTATGCATTTGTGTATGTCCACGTGTATATATGTGAGTACATCCTTGCCTGTGTATGCATTTGCGTATGTCCACGTGTAGATATGTGCGTACATTCTTGCCTGTGTGCGCGCTTGTGTGCATTTGAGTGCCCACGCACGGGCATGTGCGTATCTTCATGCCTGTGTCTGAACGTCTGTGCATCTTTATGTGTCCCTGCATGGGTATGCACATACATCTGTGCCTGCATATGCGTGTGCATGCATTTGGGTGCGTGAGTCCACATGTGGGTATGTGCAGTGTATGCACGCACGTAGATTTCTGTGTGTCCATACATCTGTATGTGTATATGTTCGCGCCTGCGTGTGCATACGTACGCATTTATGTGCGTCAAAACATGAGTATGTGCATATGTGCGCACATTTGTGTATGATGAATGTAGGTGCCTGTGTATACGAGCGTTGCCTGCGTGTAAGTGCGTGCGTGCGTCATGCACGTACAAGGTGTCGTTGCAGTGTTTCCTGTAGTAATCCATCTCGTAGTCATACTGGTTGAGAATCATGTTGACCGTGTTGCTCTCCACGTGTTCCGTGATTCCCTCGAGCGGCGGCGCAGGAATGTTGAGGGGTTTGTCGGGATAGAGGAGGCACTCTGGGCTCGTGCAGCCAATATACTGTAGCATCTGCAGGAGAAACACACATAGGGGGCTTCCGATCAGTGACCATTCACCATTACCTCTGAACACTAGTTGGGGTGGGACAACATTTGATGTAAGTGCTATTTGTACATAACACAGGTAACGTTTGCAGCATTTCATCATTACTAGCCATAACAATAACACTGCCTAGGTTGTCACAACTATCGCTAGTGCAACACTACAACTGCTAGTTGCCAGATTGATGTTGCATAGGTTGTCATAAACACCATCAGCGCCCCCTACAGGTAGCGGCAGAACAATTGTTAGCTGCATCACTAACACTGCCTAAGCTATCACAACCATCGTCAGCGCCACCTACAGGCATGAGACTGACCTCGTCTAGATTGTCACGGTGACTGTCATCACAGAAATCCTCAAACTTTGGAATCTCGTCTAAGTCTCTGCACTTCTTTGTGGGGCTTCGCGGGCTGCTGGTCGCCATGGCATTGGGTCGTTTCAGCGGCGAGATGTCGTGTGGCGTATCGCTGTTCCATGAAGCCAGCATGGAGTCAGCGGTTTCTGTCCAAAAACCAACCAATGAGTGAAGTAGATTCATGCAAGCTGACCTCTTGTTGCAGCTACAGTCCCGGCTAAAATGCGTAAAGTAGTAAATCAGTACGACATGCCCTCAGTACATATCATTCTATTGAAAGACCATCAGAATCACCAAACAAATATTGACGACTAGGTTATTAACACGAAAGGTTAAGGCAAAGTTGGGTGTGTATTCTCGACTGCTGTTCTGGAAAGCGTCTGCATCAAGATTCTAACGTCAGAAAATAAACCCACTCTGTTAATCCAGCTAGGGGGTCGGAAATCGGTCAGTAAAGACATGCGTCAGCAGCTGACAGTAAATTTAACTTCTCAGACGACTGTTTGCATTCACGCGGCGACGAACAGATGTAGACGCGTGGGTCGGCGATCAAGTATGTACGAAACATCAACACTCACGCGTTTCCGCGCTTCCGCCAATATCACAGGGGGCAACACTGCGCAATATCTCCATCTCAAGATTCCACTGGTATTTATCGTGCAAACAGCATTTTGTTGACACAGCTGAATATTAATTATAATGCTGGCACCATCCACAGGTAGGGCAGGTATATGGCCAGCCCCATGGTGTTAGAAATGGTTGTGTCAAAGAAAGCCCAGGGCGTCATGCTGGCCTTTCGCTGGCTCGTGTTTGTCACAACTCCACCTTAATGCATCTAAACCCACCCTCACATCCATCCCAATCATCCTACGTCACCTCCCCACCTGCTCTCGTGAAAAACTCACCCTTACACTGCTACTCGGAGATAGGCCTACACGCTCATTTTCCTAACCCTACTCCTCTGCTCACTCTTCTTACAACCCAATCTACCCCCTACTCACCCCTCCTGCTGCCCCATCATCCTCCAGCCCCAGCCCACTGCTACTTCAGCACCTATTCAGGGTTTCTTCTGAGGGAAAATTAGACAAAGGTCAGGAGGTAATGGCCAGGTTGGGGAAAAACGCGCATAATGGATTCAAAGTCGTGTTTGCATGTGTCTTGAGGACCTAGCAAAGTGAGCACAGCAGGAGCTCACCCAGCTAGGTCCAGGTCAAATTTTTTTGAAAAAATGGTGCAATTTGGTGCATTCTAAGCTATTCTGAACACATTGTATGAGACTCTTGAATCTCTTTTTCAAGTTGTCAAAAGGAACAAATAAACTATGAATATGAAATGATACTAGTATTCACATTAAATCGTAATACCATCGAAAACGAGGCGAATTCCTGGAGCGTGGCAAAGATCCGGAAGCTTCCGGTTACATTTATCTTCTGTGTATCAATGATCTTATGAATTTGAAGTTCATACATTTAAAAAATACATAACGAAGATTAAAAAATAATATTAGTTAATTATTTTTATATGCTCTCATTTGCGTTAATAACGCTTACCAGCATGAAATGTGATTTTATTTCAACAAAAGCACTTTCCTGGTGTAGAATACAAACGAACACCCATGCGTATATGCGTAACCCAAGTGTAGTTTATTGATGGAAGAACAGTGATTTTCGTCAGCGGATGGTGGCAGTCCAGCAATCGTCGGCCATCTATGGCAGTCGTCAGCAATCCAGGTGTTTTGGACAAATTTCTGTGTGGCGACTGAGAATTTGAGCGAGGCGGTCCGCCTCGCTCATATCAACGCAGGGGAAACTTATTTATTTTTGGGTTGACACTATTTTGACAACGGCGGGTAAATACAAGAACATTTTCACAACGGCGATGTTAAATTTGACAATGGCGGTGAGCCACTATGCCTCTTATGTAGAAGAAACCCTGCTATTTTTCCTACAACCCACCACACTCCTGACACGACCTGCAATAATGGACGAAAGACTTTGACGTCAACAACAATCTGCCAACACTTCCCGTCCCCCCTACTCCCCCCACCACCTCGCCACGACGACGACCTTGATGAAGGTCGGGTTCACCTTGACGTGGCGGCTGTCGTCGGTGTGCGAGGGCATGCGTGTCGACACGTGGTAGATGACCTCCAGCGACGAGGTCGCGTAGTAAGGTGCTGTGCCGCCCGTGCTCTTGTTACTCTGTAAGCCACCCATGAAGCCCGGATGCTGGCCAAGGTCCACCTGTTCGCACGGGACCGCGTCAACAGCAGTGTAAATAGATTGACAGTCAGATGGACGGATCACTGTGAGGGTGGATAACTATGTAGGTGGGTGGGTGAGGCGCGTGGATGGATGGATATATAGATAGCTAGGCGTTGTTTGATTACTAGCATTCGATGATGATATCGACATGCATGGGCCAAGACGTATTATATTAGATGATGTGAAAAGGAGAAGAAATGTTTTTGAGGAATTTCCTTCTGGTACAGGTGGCAATCATGCCTATTCTATGGGATCCATCTTATTTTTAATACCTACTAATGCAAGATTTACATACGAATTTATAATGGCAAACAATAATTAATATGGTAGCGACTTTAGATAGCTTGTCTAGTTTGTTTTGCCAAAGACTGAACAGTTTCAAATTCCACGTGCAATATTGAGAAATTTGATTGACTACAACTTCAACACACGGACAAAGAGAGACAGAAAAAGAGATGAGAGGGGAGAAATCATGGGAGGGGAAGAGGGAGGAGGGGGAGAGAGAGGGACGGATGAAGAAAATGATAGTAAGACGTGGAGGAGTTTTGGCCAATTTCTAGGTTTTTAGAAAGAATTTACATATATATAAGTAAATCTTTATCAGAAAAACTAGGCGCTAAACAAGATTTTTTTATGGAGACAATATAAGAGAAGTGTGTGTGCGTGCGTGCGTGCGTGCGTGCGTGCGCGTGCGTGCGTGCGTTCGTGCGTGCGCGTGTGTATGCTTTTTTTCCCTTTTTGTGGTAAAAAGGGGGGTCCGGACCCCCTCGACCCCCCCTCTGGATCCGCCCCTGAACCAGGCAGCCATCAGTGCGACGACGGTCCGTGATGACTGAATGCGGGTGTGTTTGTGTTTCACGCGGGAGCAGCCAGGGGGCGGTGTCACAGCAGGTCTGATCACCGCCAGGGCCCAGGTGCGTGACATAGTTCGTGACATCAGTGGCAAG